GGGTGACTTGCGTAGAATCTCCCAGTAAGGTTGGAAAGAGGACCCATCCCCTATACCATGCTGCCTCAAGGGATGTCTGATTCATTCTTTCTCAGGTGAGAACAGTAACTTGCCTTTCCCTAATGCTGCACACGTGACAAGTCTGAAGTCTCCTGTTCAGGGCCAAGTGTCATCATCATCATTTCTCAGAGAGGACAAAGAGGTCCAGGAGGTGAATGTAGTCCCCAGGGTCATATGGCTCAGGACTGCCTCTTGTCTTCCTGACCCCCAGGCCAGTTTGCTGTCTATTTCACTGTCCTGCTGCTAGGTGGCGCCATAGTGCAGACAGTACTGGTCCTGCTGTGTGACCCTGGGCAAGTCACTCCACCCTGTCTGCCTCAGTTTTCTCATCTGTAAAGTTGGGGTAGCTCTGCCTCTTGGGGATGTTGTGAGGATCAGAGGAGATAATCTGTGAAGTGTTTTGCTGGCTGCTGTTATTACTGTCTTCCTAGTGGCCACCTTCTGGCGAGCAGACCCCTTCTCCATGTCAGACTGGGCCTTGGACAGTACAGCCCCAGGCTGAGCCAGCACAGGACACAAATTCCAGGTGCCATCAGTCGGACCCTGTCTGTAGGGAGAAGCCAGTGCTGCCAGCTGAAGATCACATTGTGTCCGTCATTCCCCCGAAGCCAGAGGATCGTGCTGGCTGACAGAGCTGGCCAAGTATGTGAAGGGACCCAGGACGTGCATGGGCACCAGTGGCCGTTGAATGCCCGGTACAGGAAAGGGATGGTGAAGCCCAGGATAGAGAAGTGACGGCCCTGTGAGGGAAGAGGATGAAAGAAGAGACATGACAGTGGAGTCGATTCGTCTGACCTTTCACAGTGCCCGTGATGGGCCAGGCCCGTGCCAGGGGCACAGAGGAGACAGAGACAGGCATCTGTGTACAGGCTTTAGTGACTCCGTCAACAGATGTTTACGTAGGAAGATGTTGTGCTGAAAGTGTGCAGAGGGCAGAACAGCATGAGCGCAATGGAGAAATCTCCAGAAAATCCCAGTAAGAAATTCGAGGCAGAAAAGATGACTTTTGCTGGGGGAGGGGTGGGATCCGTGTACTTCCTGGAGGAGGGGCTATTGGAATTGGCTCTAAAGGGTAGGTCAGCCCTGTGGCAGCAGGCGAGTGCCAGGGGCTTAAGAGCACCCTCTTGTCCATCCCCCACCTTGGTCTGAGAGAGGTTCGGTGGCACAAGCAGGAAGCGGCAGGGGTAGGATGTGAACCCTGGGCCAGTGATGGAAGCCAGGTGCTTCTCCAGGTTGGCAGGGCTGATGGAGCTGGATGGCCTGAGAGGCCTTGGCCAGGTGGGAAAATCAGAGACAACAGATTTGTCATAGGGGGTGGTATCAGTGCTGAAGGAGAGGGGTAATCAGAAGGGAAGTCCAGTCAGCCTTGGGGCTGTCCCCGCGAAGTCAGAGGGCTAGCGTTCAGATTCTACCTATGATGTGGCAGGCCAACCTCCCTGGGCCTGTCGCATCTCCTGAAAATGAAGAGGTCGATGGTTTCTGATGCCCCTCCCCCACTCTAGGCCCATGGGTGCAGAGTCACTGCTCCCTCTGGGTCTGGGGTCTGCTGTGTGATTCTCTGGGGCTCACGTTATTCAAGGGGAGGTGTGGGCATGTGAATGACTTAGCAGAAACCCACATCACTTCTGGGCACCTGAAGTCTCAGGGCCTCAGCTTCCTCATCTCTAAAATGATGGAGTTCAACTCATTCATTGATGGCTCAGGCTGCAGTCATCAGCCAGAGGTGTGAGATAGTAGAGAGAGAGGAGGAAAGAGAACCAGGATAGTGCAGGAGCCCAGGCAGGAGGAGAGCATAATAACAATAATAATTCGGATAAGGGTATTCAGTGCTCTTTAGAGATTAGCTCACCGGAGCCTCCCAGCCCTGGGCGATGCAAGTGTAGAAAAAGAGAGAACTGGTTTCTGGATTAAGGTCTTGGGAGGAGGTCGGGTTGGAGGCTTGGTGGAGCAGTGGTTGGAGCACTGGGCGTGGGGTCAGGAGGGCCTTGGATCCTTTTCTAGCCCCTTCCAAGCTTTGGCCCATGGTAGCTGCAGTGTGCCTAGTTCTTGAGAATAGAAGTGTTAGGCTCAGTGGCCTCTGAGACCCCTTGCAGAGAGAGAAGAGAGATGGATTGATTAGTCTTAAAGAAAACTAGGATGTCTCTTCCTTTGTGGCTGGAAGAGAGGATGGAGGGAGAGGTCAGAGAATGAGCCCTTGGTGCGGTCAGTGAGGTCGGAGGCTTGGTCAGTTCTCTCTAATAAATACCCAGGAGATGGAGGAGAGGGCGATCGGTGAGAATAAATAGTAAATAAGAGCTGACGTTCCCGGAGCGCTTGACAGAGCGGATTTCATTTGCTCATCGCCACAGCCTGTAAGAGAAGGCAGGGGGCTGGGAAGTTGGGCCCACCGCCCCCACCTTGGTTCTGGCTCTCACCTTCAGGGTCGCTGGCTCAAGTCTGGCTGCTAGACCCTTTGATGAGAAAACGGGTTCCAAGGTTTTAGCTGGCTAGTTTGGCTCGGCCAAGCTCTGCGGCCTCCAGCCTTCCAGAACCTGCGGTGCTTCCTCAGTCCTTAGTTCCTCGTCAGGCGGCTTTCCCCGGGATTTTTGATCCTCAAGGAATTTCTATGTACCTCCTTCATCCTGAACTGAAGCCGAGGGCCTGGGTGTCTGTGGCCTTGCCTTGTCTCCTTAGAGAAATGAAACCCTCCAGAGGTTTCCCCACCTTGGTCAGCGCCTTGCCGCGCCATTGTGGCAGGCGTCTGGTGAAGCATTCTTGAATGTACTCTTGTCTTCGACGCTTCCTTTCTATATTGGTCATTTGGCCAGAGGCACATTGGATCTTGAGATTCTAATGGCGAATCCCACCCATGCTGGTGAAGCTGTCTCCTCCAGCCATTCGCCCCAGACTGCCACCTGTAGCTCCTCTTCTCTGTCCTGTCACAGTCACCTCCTGGGCTTCGTCTGTCTTTCTCCTCCTTGGAGTCCTTGGCAGCTGGTGGTGTTCCACCAATTTCTGTCTCCAATTCATGAGCAGAGAGCAAAGAGAGAGGGGGCTCCCTGGTGCCAGTAACCCATGGGCTTTTACTGGGCCCTTTTCCCTATGTCCCCCTTCTCCAGAGAATGGGTTGCTAAGATCCAGCTAACACCATTTTTAAAGAAAATTCCTGAAGATATATTCCACGTGGATAAGGGCAGTGAGGAGGCTTCCAGAATGGACTTTAGGGACCACTTCGGGCAGTAGCAAGATGGTTAGGTAGGTAATGTCACCAGCTGATAGAGGCCCTGAAGACTAAGCTGAGGAATTTGCATTTTATTCAGTAGTCAGAAGTGAGCCAGTGGAGGCCCTTCCATAGGAAGGTAATGCACAGTGGGGGTCCAGGGAGAATTGGTCATGCCCTTCTTCCCACTTCCACAAGGCCATACCATTAATTTAAAATTTTTAAGAAAGCCTTTCCAACTATGCCCAAAGGGCTGTAAAAATGTGCATACCCTTTGACCCAGCAACAGCACTTCTAGGGCTGTATCCCAAAGAGATCATACAAATGGGAAAGGACCCACATGTACAAAAATATTCATGGCAGCTCTTTTTGTGGTGGCAAAGAATTGGAAACTGAGGGGATGCCCATCCACTGAGGAATGGCTGAGCGAGTTGTGGTGTATGAATGTAATGGAATACTATTGTGCTGTAAGAAATGATGAGCAGGCAGGCTTCAGAAAAACCTGGAAAGACTTGCATGGTCTGATGCTGAGTGAAGTGAGCAGAACCAGGAGAAGGTTGTACACGATAACAGCCATGCTGTGCGATGACTAATATCGGTAAACTGAACCCTTCTCAGCATTGCAAGGATCTAAGACATCTCCAGAGGCCTCGGAATGGAAAAGGCTGTCCACATCCAAAGAAAGAACTATGGAAGTTGAATCGCTATCGTTTTTTTTCCTTTCTCTTTCTGATGGCTCCTCCTGTTGGTTTTAATTTTTACTTACAACTTCACTAATGTGAAAATATGTTTAATAGGAATGCAGATGTAAAGCCTATATCAGATTGTGCCCCGTGTTGCAGGGGAGGGAGGGGGAGGAAAATTTTAAACTCAAAAGCCTATGGAAGTAATTGTTGACAAATCAAAATAAATTAATAAAATTTAAAAAAAAAAGCAAGCCTTGCAAAATGCCCCCCATTCCTCCCTTCTTTAGTTGGCATTCTCTCAGGTAGGCTGCAGCTGCTTGATGATAATTGGTGCTATGATCTGGAGCCTTCAAGGTGAGGAAGGTGGAGCTGAAAGAGATCGGAGTCTCACTTTCCCCATCCCCCACAGTGTGGCCGCTTACATCATGGCTCCCGCTCCAAGACAGCTCTGGAGGCAGATGTTGTCCTCGGGGCCTACCGTGATTGTACAGACCGTGGTGGTGGTGGTGCCGGGGGAGGGTGGAGTGAGTTAGCCAGGCAGGCAGCTTCAGTGCCGTGACTGGGGGCACTTGGGGAGCTTGTCATGGGATCCAGGCCATGTGGAGCTGTGCTTCAGGAAGCCCCTTTGTTACCTCTGCTGTGCTACAAGCTACCAAACCTGCACACAGAACACAAGCCTCTCCTCAACCAGATCGTTTTAGAATTTTGAGGGACATTTTTGACTCTCAGTAGAGCCAGGAGTTTTGGAGTGGTCAGACTAGAGGTGATATTGGGAGCCTGCCTGGTATTGAGGCCTGGGGGGACCAGGGCCCTTGCCCTCTCTCTCTCTCTCTCTTCATTTAGACCTCTTGCCCTTTGCACCCCCAGCCCTGGCTCCACCCCCAGCCTCAGGAATGGCAGACTGACCCAGAGAGAAATACCTGGGCTCTTCCCCAGCTTGTCAGGTGGTAGCAGCCCCTCAGAGCAGACGGGGGAGTGAGGGGCATGCGTGTCCTCGGCTTCATCTGTAACATAGCTCTGCATCAATGCAAATTCTTGTCGTTTGTCATTCTTAGGCGAGGTGACCCCAGGACTGTCCCAAGTGGAGTATGCTCTGCGCAGACACAAACTGATGGCTTTGATCCAGAAGGAAGCCCAAGGCCAGGCTGGGACAGACCAGGCAGTGGTCTTGCTCTCCAATCCCACGTTCTACATGAGCAATGACATCCCCTATACCTTCCACCAAGACAACAACTTCCTGTACCTCTGTGGATTCCAGGAGCCTGACAGCATCCTGGTCCTTCAGAGCCTTCCTGGCAAGGAGCTCCCTGCCCACAGAGCCGTGCTCTTTGTCCCTCGGAGGGATCCCGGCCGGGAGCTCTGGGACGGGCCACGCTCGGGGGCTGACGGAGCCGTGGCTCTCACTGGTGTGGATGAAGCTTTCCCTCTGGAGGAGTTCAGGCATCTGCTCCCCAAACTGAAAGGTACCAAGAGGACACGGTAGCCGGCCCCAGGGCACCTGGTGCTGTGCCCTCTTATCGCCTGGTCACCATTTCCCATTGGGATCCAAGTCACCAGATCCCTTGGAGATCCCACTAGATCCCTAACCACCTACAGTCAAGCTTCTAGCAGGTTTTCTCTGCCCCAGAGGACCAAGACTGTGCTGGTGACTTGGTGGCTGGCACCTGTAAGCTCCTTAGCCCTTCCAGGCGAAAGACAGAAAGGGACAGGATCTCCCCCTTTTTTTCCCCTTGAGAGTAGGGAAGTGATTGGTCTGTGTTTTGGCAGAGCTACTAAGCAAAAAGAAAGGTGGGTGAAATAGAGCTTGGTTGATGTTTGCTGCCTGAGGGCTCTCAAGGCTGTATTTTGTGTCAAGGCAGTGATTTTGTAGCCTGAGCCACAGTGGTAGAGGGCAGAGAGAGGGCCCGGCTTATTTCACTTTGGGTGCAAACTTGAGCATACGTGCAGTCTCCACGGGAGCCTTGTCCCTTTCACCTCTCTGTGCGACTGGGGCTCTCCTTTGGGTGGGTGTACGTTACAGCATGCCCCTGAGCGGTCTGAGCGGGAGCTGTCGGGCTAGGGCAGCCTACTCCCCGGCCTCTCACAGGACCTGCCCATCAGGCAGCTGCCATACGTCATGGACTGGAGTGGGAGAAAGGGCTGTCCGCTCATATGGGTGAAAACCCAGTCACAGTTCCTCAGAAAAACCATTTGAAAAACTGGCCCTGTCACTATGTCTCATCCCAGGAGCCTCAGGGTCACCCAGCTACTAAATACCAATGGCACGTTGTGACCTGAGGCCCCCTGACTTCCAAGCCAGCATTCTCTTCTCTAGCCTCAGCACCTTCCTCTCTCGGGTCTGACCATGGACAACGCCTGAATCCTTTGGGATTGGCCTCTAAGGGAAGGGTGACGTGGGAGTTGGCATCCCACTGCTGGACTGCCACAGCAGTTCTGGAGAAGAATTTCTCCTAGAATATAAGAAAGCTTTCCGGTTCCCCCACCCCACCCCACCCCCCGCACAGAAAGACCCCGTGGGAGGGCATGGCGGCTCTCAAACCTGAGGATGAGAAGCCATCCTCTCCGGCACCTCAGCCTCACCACTACCACCAGCTTAGCTGTGTGGACAACATGAGGTTGGATAGATCACCAACAATCAGGGATTCCTAGTTCTAGAGCACACGACCCGACTGTTGCCTTTACAAAGACCCGGGACGGGGAGTGGGCCCAGCCACATCCCAGTGCCAGGGGAGTTTTGTGTCATTCAGCCCTTTGCGATTCTGCTGTCTTTTTGTGACTCTTCTCTCTGCCTCTGGTTTTCTTTGGTTTCCTGTTGGAAGCGGAGACGAGTACGGTTTGGTATGACTGGACCAAACCCTCCCATGCCCAGCTACATTCTGACTACATGAAGCCTGTGACAGAGGCCAAGGCCGGCAGCAGGAACAGGGTGCGAGCTGTCCGGCACCTGGTCCAGCGCCTCCGGCTCATCAAATCCCCTGCCGAGATAGCGCTCCTGCAGGGCGCTGGGCGGCTGACATCCCAGGTATGGAGCGGGCCCAGGCTTCAGACGTGGTGTCTCCCGTGCCTGGGAGCTTAGCATCAGGAGGCCCTGGTGGGGGTTGGACAAGCCCGGGGGCCCCAAATCTCTCGATGAGCAGTTGAAATCTGCCTCCTCTGGGTTGCTTTGAGGGTCTGCTTGCTAGAGCCCCTGAGTAGTTGTCCCCTCTTCCATGCACTTCTTCTCCCCGTATCCAAAGACAATACTAGAATCAGAATTGCTGGGGGGGGGGGGTATCCCCAGAGTTGTGGAGCTGAAACTCTCCCCATACCATGAATCTTAGCCCCATCATCCCTTGTCCAAGAAAGGGCAGAGCTCCCAGGATTGAGAGATGGGAGCAGGGAACTTGAAACTCAGCTAGTTCTGCCTCCTCCCTCCATTTTACAAATGAGGAAACTGAGGCCTAGAGAAGGAAGCTCCTAAGCCTGGTGAACAGCAGAGCTAGGGAAGGACTCTGTTACATATGACCCACACAGGAAAGCCTCTTCCAAATGCTTGTGGACTGACTGACCCAGGAGAAGAAATCGAGATGTGTTTAAAGATAATGTTGGGGATGTGTCCTAGCCCTTAGCCAGGTACCAAGGACAGGGCTGTGATGATCCGGGCAGAGGCAGGGATGCTGAAGTCGTGTCCGTCCTTTCATTGTGAAGTGTCCTTAATGGGAGAAAATGCCGTAGCTCCTAGATAGGACATCTTGTCTCTGAGTCACCCTCATGCCAACCATCTTGTAGAGACCATATTGAAAACAAACGAGGTGAAGGGCATTCTTCTGCAAGGCCTTGAGAGGCTCGCCTTTCCCCCGCCGCCCACCAAGGGCCAGGCTTCCTTGGATACGTCAGCCGGAGCTCCTGCCGTGTCCCTCTGTTGCCTGGCTTGTGTTGGCACAGACCCACCTTCCCGGGAGAGGCATCCATCCCTCCGGCTCCCCCATTGACTTCACTCTCCAGCATCTGTCTGTGCCCCAGCCTTGGCGGTTGTAATGGGTCATACTGTCTCTCTCTCTCTGCATCTGTCCCTGTGACAGGGAATGACTATAAAGAGACAAGGTGAGTCCACAGGCCAGGCCCCCAGACTGACCCTTTGCTGTATCATTGCACTGTGGACACAGGCCGCCGCGGTGTTACCTCACAGAGAAGCGGAGGCCGTTCTGGAATCCGCAGAAATGACCGTCTGCCCTCACGGCAGGGTGTTAGGAGAGAGGCCCGTATGGCCTCGCGTGGCCTCTTCTACTAAGGAGTTTGCACACTAATGGAGAGTCGGCTGTCCTCTCACCGTGACGGTCTGCCTCACCTTTGCGGGGCCTTTGCCATTTGCCCATCAGTACCAGTGCGCTCCACGCAGAAGGCTTTGCTGGTTCCCTTCTGTCGGCCTGCAGGGCCATCGGTACAACTAAGATCTTTTGAGAGATGAGAGAAGTGATGTTGTTCCCCCTTTACAGGTGAGGGGTGCAGGCTCATTTCAGGTCACTCAGCACTTCAGCAGTAAAAGGGAGACCAGAGCCAGGTTTTCTGACCCGGGCATCCCCAGCGCAGGTGTGCTCAGCACCTCCGGAAAGAACGTTCTGCCTTCTCAACTCTGGCAGCGCCCATGGAGGATTCGCTGCATCCCATCTGGGCCCTGGGAGAATGGAAGGGCTGGTTCTTGGGGTTCCAGATGTCTAGCACAGGAAGTGACGTGTGGGATAAAAGAAAACTATATTTCTCCCTTTTTCCTTTGGCAGGCTTTTATAGAGACCATGTTTGCTAGCAAAGCCCCAGTGGATGAAGCATTTCTTTATGCAAAGGTATGTGTTTTACAGAGAGAAGGGATTGTTGAAAAGGAAAGCTTAGGGAGTTTGCAGATAACCTTGAGCTGGTGGGCACTGGGCAGTGGGCAAGTGAGCTTAGAACAAGGGATGTCCAAGCTGGGAGGGGCCTGAGAACAGAGGATGTGCAAGCTGGGAGGGGCCTGAGAACAGGGGATGTCAGAGCTGGAAGGGGCCTGAGAACAGGGGATGTCAGAGCTGGAAGGGGCCTGAGAACAGAGAATATCAGGGCTGACAGGGGCCTTAGAACAGAGATGTCAGGGCTGGGAGGGGCCTGAGAACAAGGAATGTCAGAGCTGGGAGGGGCCTGAGAACAGGGGATGTCAGGGCTGGGAGGGGCCTGAGAACAGGGATCCCCAGCACCTCTAAACTTAGGAAGTTATACACATCCTAAGAACCAGAAAATACAGTGGAGTTGACACAGTGGCCGGTTGTGTATTTGGAAAGGAAGAAAACATTATTGTAACAAATGCCAAATTGCAGCCGCTCAGACCAGCCGTGGGGTACAGCCCCACTAAGCAGTAACACTTTGTTCCCCCGGCCCTGGCTTCCCAGGGACTGCTTTAATGGAATTCGTGCCTTTGATGACTTGCCCGGCATTAGCTTTTACTCCCCCGAAAAGAGTAGGCTGGTGGCCATTTGAAAGGCTGAAAAGGTCACAAGGCATGTGTGCGTCAGCAGTCCACATCGCCCTGTTGTTTAACAAGTAAGCCGTGGAGGCCTGAGGGACCCAAATAGGAGTCCAGCCTCTCTCCCCGGAGGTCCCTAATTGCACTCATTACGCCCTTGATAGTCAGGGGGCGCTTCTGGCCTTCCCAGGATGGGGACTGTAGAAGAGAAGAAGTGGAGGGTTTAGGGGGAAGGGAGCCAGGGTGATTATAGGGCCATTGAAAGAGGCTGAGTTCTGGGGCATGGGCAGGCGAACACCGGGAGGTGAGCTGCTAGTGGCCTCTTAAGGAAGAATGCAAAGTTAAGAAAACCAGTGCTTGGTGGGGATGACTGGCCATTTTGGCTGTTTGCTGAGGCCCCAACAAAAATGGCCTGAAACTGGAGCATGAGCAGTTTGGGGTGGAGGGAGTACCCCTCTTCTTCCTGCCCCTTTGATCCCACACCTGCAGCCCTGTGCTGGTCAGCCCCTCCAGGCCAAGTCCTGGCCCACCCCAGGCCTGCAGCCCCAGTGCCGTGACCGACCGGCACAACTTCGGAGCCCCCAGGTACCACGACCTCTCCCATGGAGGCTTGGCTTGTGGGGAGGTCTGAGAGTTCTCCTGTCTGGTATTCTGGTAGTAAATGGTGGAATAAAGTCCAGCCTTCATGCCCAAGAAGGGGGCTAAGTAGGGACAGAAGAAGCAAGCTCCCTTCTTCCTTCTGTGTCTCTGTGACTTTTACAGTTTGAATTTGAGTGTCGGTCTCGGGGTGCAGACATCTTGGCCTACCCGCCTGTGATCGCCGGGGGTAACCGGTCTAATACTTTGCACTATGTAAAGAACAACCAGATCATTAAGGTAAGTGGGAGGTCCCCATCTGGACCCACCTATCCCACCAAGGAGCTGCTGCCGCTCTTTGAGCTCCGTTCTCAAAAGGCCCGTGACATCGGGGAGGTGATGCCGTGACATGTGAGTGAACTGGATTGAGGTGAGGCAGGGCTGTGCAGGGTCACCAGCCTCACTCTCTCCTCCAGAGCCGTCTGGGTCCAGTGGCCAGGTGTGGATCCGGACGACTGCAGATGGCCCAGGAGGCAGTGGGGCACCTTGGCGTATCCCAGATCTCAGTGTGACTGAGGCGGTGCCGTGTGGTAGTTAAGGTCCAATAGGTCCCACCGAGGAGCGCTCATGTAATCAAAGGCCCGCTAGCCTGAAGCCCGCTGCCCCCCAGACTCCTCCCATGTTGGCTCCTGGTGTGTAGAGACCTGGACCCCCAGAGTAGTTTGCTCCCAGTGCCCTGGGAGCGAGGGGGAAGCTGCAGTTTGAGCTCCTATTTAGTGGGTGAGAAAACACCTGAAGAAATAGGCACAGGCAGGTCACCCAGCTCGTGAGACTCTGAGCTGGGCCTCTAGATTCAGCACCCTGGATGCCCAGATCAGACTGGGCCCGAGTGATCCCTCAGCCACCTTCTGGCATGTGCTTAATCCGCCTGTTTCGTCACCATGTTAGTTGACCATCATCCCGTTGGCGCACTCAGCGCTCACACCTGGCAGGCCGGCCATCTCAGTGGCTGCTGATGGGCAAGGGTCACCTCACATCTCATCCTGGGGACCCCCACTTGAGCTCCGCCTTGTCTCCACCGTTGAAGAACTGAGATGCTGTTCTCGGGAAGCTTTGGTTTTATTCTTTAGAGTAACTGAAATGCCAGGTGCCTTGTAGCAGATAGGAGAGCTGGCCAGCATTCACACCTGCCCCATTGCTCATGGGGGCACTGCAGGTCCAGGATGAGGGGGATCTGGCTGGTCTTTCATCAGCTCCACCCAAGGACAGCAGAGATAGTGAGCGGGTGGGATAGGTCACAGGCAAGAATAGGCTGTAGGCTAGTGAGGCCCCAGGGCTGAGGAGGCTCCCCAGCCATCTCCTTCGGTCCTGCCCAGAAAGAGGCCCTGCTCCAACGAATGGCCGTCCGTCCTCTGCCTAGGCCTCTCTAGGCAGCCCCTTCCAGGGTGGCTTTCCTGACCTCAAGGCTGACTGTACCTCTGCTGGTCTCTGCCCCTCTGGAGCATAGCTGTCGGGTGCCCTCCCTGAGTCTTTGCTTGTCCATAGCCCTTTCCCATTCAGGCCGCCCTCCTCTGAGACTTCTGGCACTGGCCACCGGGCAGAGGACGAAAGGGGCTCTGGTCTTCCCCTCCTGGAAGCCACTGGGCTCCTCATGCCCTCCAGGGCATTCATTTTCTTTGGCCCCCTCATGATGCTGCTGGCTTACGGAGCTGGCAGTTGGCTGAAATCCTTTGATCTTTTCTCGATTCCTGCTAATGGCCGGCCCCTCATCTAGCTCTGGAACTGAAGGGCTACGGGGCAGGGAGGACTTAAGAGAGGGCTGCAGGTCTGGGGAGAGGCCTGCTGCAGGTGAGCTTTCCAGACAGCGGTGTGGGTTTGCTCTCCTGTAATTTCCCACGGCTTAGATCTGAGTTAAGGGTGTTTTCTCAGGGGGTGATGACATCACAGTTGGCATCAAATGACCCCATCGCTAAAAGATTCATCTTCAAGTCTGGAGCCACAGGATTGGGCCCGTAGGAGCCCAAATTCAAATTCTGCTACCTCTCCCTGCCAGCTTAGGTTGGAGTAAGGAAACCAGAGATGCAAAGTAAAATGTGGGTAGGGAAGGGAAAGACAACCTGTGTGTGTGTGACAGGTAACACCGGACAGTGGGTCAGTCACTGCCTGTGTGAGCCAGACGGCCCCTTTGAACCACAGGCCTTGGGGAAGCGAGAGGGTCCAGGGAAGGGCTGGAGACATGCTAGCAGAAAACTCAGCAGAATGTCTCTGGAAGGATTCTCCTTCCTTTAAATTGGACCCATTGAAAGAAAAAAGAAAGCACAGACTGAGAGAACAAAGTGCCGTCCTAGGCTGGCCGGGAAACACACCCCACCCCCACCTTGCCTCCCCATCTGATCTTCTCTCCTCCCCTGCAGGATGGGGAGATGGTGCTGCTGGACGGAGGCTGTGAATCTGCTGGCTACACGAGCGATATTACCCGCACCTGGCCGGTCAATGGAAGGTAGGCCCCGGGACCAACATGGCGCCAGTGGGGATGGAGCTCACGCATCATCAAGCAGAAAGCAGGCTGACCAGACAAAGTAGGAGACCTAAGCTGGTGGGGGATCACCTCCTCGCCTGGTAGTTTTGGCAGCAGGGCCCAGCCTGGCCCCATTCACAGCTCTCTGGAACTTGGATTCCTGGCTCACTTTGGGAGGCTCACTCCCACTCATTGGAGCCAGTAAGAAAGCTGGAAGTCTCAGGGGCGTTGAACACAGAGGGGCGTCCCCAGTGTTGTCATTACCCTAGAAGTTGGTTCCCAGCTTTTCCTGGTGGCCGGGCTCTTCTTTTCAAGGCATTGAAAGCAGATTAGTGGTATGACGCTTATTCATAGGATCGCTCAGCAAGCGTTCATTAAGCACCTACTGTGTGCCAGGTGCTGCTGGGTGCAGGAGACTCAGAAACACTCATGAAGGACTTGTGCCCTTGGGGAGCTCATGCTGTATGAGAACCTGGGTTTGGGTGAGGGAGGGACCTCACAGTCATCGAGTTTGACTTCCTACTTGTACACACAAGGCAGTTGAGGCCCAGAGATGATGGGATTTGCCTGTGCTCACCTAGGTCACATGGTTTGGGGCCACACTGAGAGGCCCGCTTTTTTGGCCCCAGATCTAGAATCCTTTCCTCGGACTCCCCATCACCAGTCATCGCCGGTGTTCCGGCCATCCTCGCCCCTCTTCAAGCTCGGAAGCTAATTCTTTCTACTGAGCCACATTTTCCGCTGTCCCATTTCAGTGGTGGTAAAGTGACCCTTTCTTTCTCTTCTCTGCAGGTTCTCTGCAGCCCAGGCGGACCTCTATGAAGCTGTGCTGGACATCCAGAAGGCATGCTTGGCCCTCTGCCGCCCCGGCAAGAGCCTGGAGAACATTTACAATCACATGCTGGCTCTGGTAGGGCAGAAGCTGCAGGAGCTCGGGGTGGTGACCGGCCTCCGAGCCTACGGTGTGACCAAGGTACACTCGCCCTGCGTCGGCCCCGCTGGAGCCTGGGGTGCTATCACTGGCACAGACCTGTAGAAGCGTACAGAGGGACTGAGGGGGGACGCTGATTGTTTGTGTGGACGGTGCCTCTTAAGGGAAGGGGGGGAAGGACTGAGTGAGCCCAGCCCAGGGGCCAGGCTCTCAGTGTTGCCTCCAGAACCACACCCTGATCACAATGTCCTAGCCAGGCTCCTTTTGGGTGAGGATGATCTGCAAGGGCACAGAGAGAGACAGTACCTGGTTCTGCCAGCAGGGGGCAGCCCAGTCTGCCATGAACCCTTCATCCCTTACCAAGATGGTGGTTTATGGGCACCTAGCAGAGGGCCCGGCGCAGGTTGGTGAGATTTCTTTGCAGTGAAACCGGTTGGGGGACCTTATTGCTTAGACTAGTTAATGTTCTGCCAGAGAACAAGAGAGACAGAGTGAGAGAGCTCTTGAGTATGTGCATTAATTAAGCACCTATTAGGTGCTGCCCACTGTGCGGAGGGTCAACAGATTAGTGTTGTCCTTTTCTTTGGAAGATTTTTGTCAAGATCTCAAGCAAATAGAATTTAATGTAAATTAAAAGGCTCTGCTTTGGAGAAAGTCACAGGTTACATCAAGCAGATATTAGAGATGGATCTCCCTATGCCTTGAAAATGTTGAGTTTCCCTGAGCATTTTTATCTGAAGACAAAAGGCCCAAATTCCTCCCAGTTCAGGCAACTTAGTAAATAGCTACTTCTTTGTCAATGCAGCAGTCTGTCTAATCTGCTAGCAGATGCTTAACATGAGAGCCAACAGGAGTGGTTTTAATAATAATAACAACCCCCCTCCTCAGACTGAAGTTTGGGCAGGTGTGAAGCAACTCTGATTTCCTGGGGACTGCAAAGGGTCTGCATTCATGACAATCTGTGCAGCAGGGAAGGCCCAGAGCTACCTGGAAATCACCTGTCAACTTCCACCATGGGGGTAGATGTGGTCACTGGGCCTGAGCAGAGGGGTGGGACACACTAAATGGGCCAGGGGAGGAGGGAGTATGTGCGAATTGTGTGTGTGTGTGTGTGTGTGTGTGTGTGTGTGATGAGCAAGGACTCCTTGGCAGGAAGTGCTGAAGTTTGGGAAGAGGTTGGACCCCAGACAAGACACAAAAGACAGGTAGTCTGTCCTTAGGACTGTATGCTGGACGGGGCGTCACAGTAAAGGTGGGAGCCACGTGGTGGCTCAGGGTCGCGATGGGCTGCCTGGAGAGAGAGAGACGGCTCTAGAGGGAGTGGGGCACAATGGCTAACTGTCCAGAGAATAGCATCCGATCGCCTAGGGAAACGTGTCCACCTGATGAAACATCCCTCCTGGGTCTTTGTGCTTTACTGTTTTTTTCCTGTCATCCTGGAACATACCTGACCTTTGTGGGGTTTTGTTTTGCTTGCTTTTTTTTTTTTAATTTAATTTTTATTTTGAGTTCCAAATTTTCTCCCTCCGGCCTCCTTCCCTACCCCCATGAGAAGACAAGCAATATGATCCCCATTGTACATGTGAAATTATGCAAAACATATTTCCACATTAGCCATGTTGGGGGAAAAAAAGGCAAAGAATCAGTTAATTAGTTAAAAGATGCCTCCATCTGCACTCAGAGCTCATCAGTTCTGTCTCTGGAGGTGGGGAGCGTTTTTCATCATGGATCTTTTGGGATCACCTTGGATCACTACTGGTCCCTCAGATAACAAAGTGATTCACAGCTGATCGTCATACAGTTGCTGTTACTGTGTACAGCGTTCTCCTGATTCTGCTCACTTCACCGTGTATCAGTTCATAAAAGTCATCCCAGTGTTTTCTGAAAGCATCCTGCTCGTCATTTCTTACAGCACAATAGTATCTCAGTACAATCGTACAGCACAGCTTGGACAGCCAGTCCCCAGTTGATGGGCATCCCTATGATTTCCATTTCTTTGCTGCCACAAAAGGAGCTGCTTAAATATTTCTGTGCAAATGGGTCCTTTCCCTTTTTCTTTGATCCGTTTGGGATACAGGTCCAGTAGTGGTATTGCTGGGCTAAAGGGTATGCATGGTTTTATAAGCCCTTTGGGCAGAGTTCCAAATTGTTCTCTGGAATGTTTGGATCAGTTCACAACTCCACCAACAGTGCATTAGTGTGTCAGTTTCCCCATATCCCCTCCAACATTTGTCATTTTCCTGTTTTGTCATGTTGGCCAATCTGATAGGTGTGATGTGGTACCTCAGAGTTGTTTTAATTTGCATTTCTCTAATCAGTGGTGATTTAGAGCTTTTTTTCATATTGATAGCTGTTGATGGCCTTGATTTCTTCCTCTGAAAACTGCCTGTTCATATTCTTTGGTCATTTAACAATTGAGAAATGGCTCACTTTACTTTGCTTTTTACCATAATACCTGAAGAAGGCTTTTTTTTTAAATAACTCCTACAGTATCTTCATTGAATGAATGAAAGTCTGGTCTGCCATCTCTCAGAGTTGAGTGTTGCTCAGTGGTGGGGTTAAGCTGGGGGCGTGACAAAGACAAGACAGGCTCCCCCTTCTAAGGGAACCGGGAGTGGAGGGGTGTGCGCTGAGCTCCATCTGGTGGGAGCCCCAGGCTCCAGCTGGGGGGGGCTGTTTGCTCACCCAGCAAGGTTAGAGTCAGCTCGTGTGACGGGAGGCATGGTGTGAATCCCAGGTCCAAGCCTCGGGCCCCTTCACTGGTGTCGTTTTTGTGGTGATGACCTGGGCCTTTGCTTTTCTAGGCAGCTCGGAAATACTGCCCCCATCACGTCGGCCATTACCTCGGCATGGATGTCCATGACACGCCAGACATGTCCCGCTCACTGCCCCTCCAGCCCGGCATGGTGGTCACCATCGAGCCAGGTAAGAGCGCCTGCCAAATCCCCACTTTGACCTTGAACAGACGTGGCAGAGAACATGCTTAGAGAGTGTCTTCTCAGCATGGGAGAAGCAGCATCCTCTCCAAAATAGTTATCCATCGGTTTGCATTAGTCCAGTTCTAGAAACCCGGCCCCTTCTCCACACTCCTAGATGTCACTCTAGAATTCATGTGCTTGTGTGTTTGTTGAGGCCGGACCAGGAGCTTGGTGGGTCCAGGGAGCGCCTGGCGAGGGCCCTCCTCTCCCAGTGCAGGTTGGCACCTTCTCTGCACCTTGGAGTGGGTCCTGAAGGGCCAGTGACCTGGGAACCTAGCTGGGCTTGAAGGCCCGCTCTCTGGCCTCTCTGCCCCTCAAGGTCTCTTCATTCCATACAGCCGTGGGGTGCTCGTACATATAAAGAGAACACACAAACATGGCAGGGGCGGGGGTGGGGGGCGTGGAGTGTCCAAGAACACCTGCTCTTGAATCTCTCCCTCTGGGGCTTTGAGCAGCTCATGCCACTTGTAGGGCCTCCGTTTTCTCATCTTGGACTAGGGTTGGAATAGCCCCTTCAGTCTCTCCTCATCACAGTCTCTATGACCTGATCTGCTTTGCCAGGCGTCCACTTTCCCAGCTGTCAACCTCTGGTTTCAGAAAGGACCAATCAGGTCAGAGTGTCGGTGACAGTTAGGGCTACGCTTGTCTATCGTAAGGAGGGTAGAGGGCACGGTAGGGGGTGAGCAGACCCCAGGCCTGCTGACTACACCCCTTAAGAAACCATTAAATAAGGGGGCACCAAGGTGGCCCAGAGAATGAAGGCCTTTGGCCTCAAGGCCATCACTCGGGGGCTTCTGGCCAGTCCCATCCAGCTGCCCTCCCTCTCCCCTCCATGGGCCATGTCCTCCCACCCCGTGCCTGAAGCTCCAGCGGAGGGGCAACTGTTGAAGACCCTGCCCTGCTTCCTCGCCAGGCCAGCCTTCCCCCAGCCGTAAGGGAAGGGGCTGGAGATGCCGGTTAGCAGCTATTGTCTCTGGTACAGCCCAGGAAGGCTTCCCACCAAGATCTGGAGCTGGCAGTCATTCCATGTTGTCTGAGACGCATTTTTGACGCCCTCCAAGGAGAAAGGGTGCTTGCAGAGATACCTCCTGGGGAAACAGCAGGGGCTCATCCTTCGGGCCTCTTTGTTCTCTGCATTGCGTTATGTCCGGCAAATGGGAATCTCCCCGGTGGGACCCTGGGCCCCAGGTATGTGGGACCAGTGAGAGGTGATCGGCAGAGAACCACACACAGTTGTGGCACGCCTCCCTCATGAGGCTCCTTTACTGTGGACCTCACTTCCTGGAGTGTCCCCCTCGGGTGCAGCAACCTGTCAAGGGTCCCAGAGCCCAGACCCTCCATCCCTTAGGCCCGTCGCCGCCCCCTGGTAAGGCGGGGGTCCTTGCTCAGGGGCACCTTGGCTCCTTACAAGGAGAGGGCATCCAGGTGAGGCCTCAGCACCTGCTTTCATGCTCAGGGACAGCAGCGATGCTTCCGGTTTCTGCACATTTTTCTAAATCACGGTGGAGGGAGGCAGGAACCTGTGGCCCCTTGGGGCATGTCATGGGGCATGGGCAGACTCCAGGAGTGGACCTGGGCAGGCTAACAGGCCAGTCGATTATCCTGGGTGGATTTTCATTCTTATGGCTGCCCTTCTCTGCTTTCTCTTCCACAGTCTGATTTCTGCTGGATGTAGATAAGAGTTAGGATTTCAGGAGGGGATCAGCTTGTCCCACTCTCCTTGGGAGAATGAACACAGCCAGACTAGTTAGCAGGCATGCATGCCGGTGTCTGGGAAGCCCCCCTTTGTCCTTGCCTGGCCCACTCTGCGGCATCAGTTTGGCCAGACTGTGATAGTGATGAAGTCATCGCCTGGCCCGGCATCCTGTTGGCCACTCGCCACCCTGCAGGCCGGCCTGCACTGTCAGGCCACCCCAAGTCAGCATTGTTTGTCTTGGAAGCAACTGACCCCTTTGCAAGTCATCACGTGGGCCCTGCCCGTTCCTCCACCCTCCCTGATGTTGGGCTGGGGGCAGCATGGAGCTGTCGAAGCAAAAATGGCTGCATACTGTGAGTGCCCTGAGGTGGTCTGAGCCATTTCAGAAAACTCTAGGAACACCTTTCTGTTTGGGGGAGATTCCTATGCATCCACTCAAATGTGGTACCGCAGATATTATGGGATCATTCTTATCTCCCTTGGGGTAGTGGGCAGGGAGTTTTGGGTTCCTCTGGCCAAGGAGGCTAGACCCGAACATCTTAAGAGTTTCCTGCTACCTGGGGACCCTAATCCCACCAGGACTGGGCCGTTAACCTCCAGAACTGGAAGGTCCATTTCCTAGCAGATCAGCCAGTGGGTCAATAAACATTGATTAAGAGCCTACCACGTGCCAGGCACTCTAGATATGAATTCTTATCTAGATTTCAGACAGATGGGGATGCTAGCTGAAATGGAGCTTAGATTCCGTCCTCCCCTTCTTTGCCTGACTTCTTACCCACCATTCCCTCATTCAGCCAGTTAACTAACTAGACAAAGCAGTAAAGAGGTCCTCTACTCAGTTGAGAGAATGGGGGTGCTGTTAAATTGTATTTTGCCACAGCCAGGTTGGAGAATTACAAACTGACTTTCGGTATTTCCCAGGTCTAGTTTCTTTTCAGGCCTTTCAGTCTTCTGATCCTGGATAAAATTGGGTTCTGTGATGGATTGGATTGTACTCTTGAAGGGTTCGAGTCCAGCCTGTAGTAAGCCAGGTGGAAGGGAGAGCACATTGAGGGACAGAAGCAGGAGGGGACTCGAAATATCCTGTCCTCCCCTTCGTGGGGCAGGACAGGGCCCCGTCTCCAGTCTCTGTACTTGTCCTGTTTGGCCACCAGAGGTCTTGTACTTGGAGTCACATCCTCCGCCCCTACTAATACTTTCCCTCTGTTCTTTGGCGGTTTTCTGATTCATCAGCATGTCTACCAGGTGAATAATAACTCCTAGCACCACCTTGGTGTAGTTCCGCTACATAGAAGTGTTCAGTGACATCTGCACGCACATACATACTTACAGGCTTCTGGAAAGAAATACATAGAGGGGCCAATTCAGCAATATGCCGAAAACTTCTTAAAGGTTCGTTTACTTCAGCAAAGATCCCTGAGAAGTTGTACAAGCCAAGTAGTCATTGAATTAACCTTCCTGGGCTGACTCGTGCCTTCCCCCTCCGGCTCTGTGAGCTGTCGTGTGCCCCTCTCTTTGGGGGCCACAAGCTGAAATGCCAGCACTTGGACTTGTGTGCCACCTTTCCACAGGCTGAATCAGGCTGCCGCTCATGCCTCTGGGAGGAGGACGCTGTGGATTTCACAGGTAGCTCCTCCCGCACCCAAAAGGCCTGGAGATCTCTCAGTAGCCACATTGGCCTTTGTGAGCAACTTCTGCCTTGGCTAAAACGCACGTCTTCCATCTTGATCTGATCATTCTATTTTCCACAGGTTTTCCTCCAAATTTGACCCCTACCCATGCAGTAGGTGGCTACAACATTAGGCTCTGCTTAGCCCCAAAGAACCCGGGCCCAGATGCCTCCCATGCCAGCCTACTGGGCTCCTTCCCTTTCTGAATGAGGCGCTGAGCAGATTCCCCGGGAGCTTTGCCTTCCTGGCTCGCCACATAAGCCAGTCTGTTTCCAGGAACAGGAGCTCCCAAATTCCTTCAGTCCGCCATCAGGGCTCATTGGCCAAGTGCTATATCCCTGCAAAAAGGATGGCATTTCTCAGCTCTCTGTTCTGGGCTCTGAGAAGCAAAGGGGCTTGAGTGATACCCTAAATGCTGGAGCCCCGTGGGCCGGCACTTTTGGGTACTCCTGGGCAGGGCTGTTTTTCCTGGAGCCAGACTGTTGGGCACTTTGCAGGTACTGTATCATTTGGGCCTCTCAGCGGCTCTCAGAGGTAAATGCCATTGTTAGCCTCCTTTGAAGAAATTAAGGCAGACAGAAGTTAAGTGGCTTATCCACGGTCACATAGCTAGTAAGTGTCTGAGGCTGTGCTTGAACTCTTCCTCATGCCAGGCCTGGTCTGGCCAGACCAGACTGCATCACTCTTGTATTCTTTTGTTAACAGGATATGATTCTCTTTCTTGACTTCTTCTTTTACTATTCAGCAACGAATATCTGTAAATTCTTCTTATATTACGGTTCTTGTTGATTAGTCATTTTCAGTCACGTCTAATTCTTTGTGGTCCCGTTAGGGGTTTTCTTGGCAAAGATACGGGGAATGGTTGGCCATTTCCTTCTCCAGCTCATTTTACAGATGAGAAAACTGAGGCAAACAGGGTGACCTGACTTGCCCAGGGTCATAAAGCTAGTATCGGAGGTCAAATTGAAGTCAAGTCTTCCTAACTCCAGACAAGTCACTCTATCCGCTGCACCACCCAGCTGCCTTTCATTGTGCAAGACTCTGAGAATTATTTGTAGAACCCTGTTAATCTGTTATTAAACTGAAAGCCTCACTGAAGTCTTCATTTTATGTAAATTTCAGAAAATGCTGTTACAGAGCCATAGGATCAGATAGCGAGGAATTGGGGTTGTCCTCCTTCCAGCCCAGCACTAAGGAAACACCCTGGCTGCCCCCACCTTTTAGAGGCCCCCAAGCTGTTGGGCATGCCGTCCTGTCCTCAGATGCAGCACCTCCTCAGGGCACCCTGCAGGACTGCCCGGCTTTCCTTTGCCTCTTGACGTCTCCCTGTGCTTTCTCATGTGCCTCAGAGAAAGGTGTGACTGTCTAATGGTCACCTGACGTGGCTGATGCTGTGCTGTTGGGAGTGAAATCTGGGGCGCTGCCGAGGCTGCGGGTGCTGTCTCTAGCTCACAGACCAGCGCCCTTCGCCTCTAGCTGCCCCTGTCATAAATTCCAAATGTGTCGGTTATGAAATTGCAGAGACCGGAGCTGGAAAGGCTTTTGAGCCCAGTGGATCCAGCCTCGTGCTGGCCTCTTAGCCTTGGAGCACTGTGGTCCCATCTCGTTTGTGGCATTTCAGCAGCCAGGCTCCTCCCACAGTGCCTGGCCTGGCCTTCATTGTGCCCCATATCATGGATTCCAGGGGCTTCCAGGGAGGTGTGCTGGTGAACTTTCTTTTGCTTCATGTTGGCCTGATTATCCCACTGGGGATCTCCCCTTAAGGCCAGGGAAGGGAAAATTTCAAAGCTGTCTCCCATGGAAAATTTTCCATGGCTTGCCTCCTCTGTGGCGTAGTGGAGCTGAGACCCTCGGATTCAGACCCTGCACTAGATCCTCCCTGTCTCTTTTTTCCCATGGTCAGCCCATTGGAACATTATTTCAAAGGTAAAATAAAGTTCTTGATCCCTGGTGGTGCATTCTCACCCTCAGATTCTCTGCCTCGGTGACATCCTTACAAATGTCCACTGGTCAGACCTGGTGGGCCTGTTTAATGGGCAGAGGTGAGAATAGAGATGCAGGAAGTAGGACTGTCTTGCCCTGGCCCTTTCTGGTTCATGCCATGCCTTCGCTTCCAGGGTCAGAAAGAGCATAGCTAAGCCAAGAGCACAGCAGTATTTGTTCTCCAGGGAAGGAGGTGGTAAGACTGGGGGGCAGCATTTTTATTATCAAGCTTTTCTTTTTTTCTCCCTCCCTCCACCCTCTCCCCAGTGGACAAAGAAGAAAAACAAACCAGCCCTTGGAACAAGTAAGCACAGGCCAGCCAGACTCTTTCCATGTTGGCCATGTCCAAAGTGTGTTTGAGTCCTGAGTCCATCAACCCTCTGTCAGGCATGGGGAATGTTTTTCATCATGAGACCCCCTGGCATTGTGGTTGGAGTACCCAAGGCCTTCTGTCGCCTCCATTTTTACAGATTGCTGTCAGGGGAAGCCTTCTCCTCCTGGTTCTGTTTGCTTTGCTCCACATCAGTTCATGTAGGTCTTCCCACTGAAATACCATCATGGTCCCTTTCCTTACATACATGGTCGTTTGTCCAGCCATGCCCTGCCCCCATTCCGTTGATATGAGCTTCTATATTTTTGTGCATAGAGTATTTTTTCCTCTTTGGTATAGGCCTAGCAGTGGTATTACAGGGCCAGAGGGTGTGTGCAGTTTAGCAACTTTGGGGGCCCAGTTCTGAACTGCTTTCCAGAACGGCTGGACCATTGATCCCACAGCTGTGGGTACGGTTGATGTGCCAGTCTGATGGATGTGATGTAGGGGCAACCTCAGAGCTGCTTGAATTTGCATTTCTGATTTTTATTGACTTGGAGCATTTCTCCATACAGCTATAAGGAGCTCGGATTTCTTCTGTTTAAAGACCCTTTGAAACGCTGTCCTGCCCTGTCTCCTCTTCTCCTGGGTGGTCACCTTGTCCTTCCCCTTTCTTCTGTTCCCAGGCATCTACGTTCCTGAAGATGACGATGACGCCTCCGAGAGGTTCCGAGGTCTCGGCGTGCGCATTGAGGATGACGTCGTGGTGACAGAGGACTTGCCACTCATCCTGTCTGCTGATTGCCCTAAAGAGATGCGCCATGTTGAGCGCATCTGTGACCGGGGCTCTTGACCTGATGTCTGGGCAGACCTGTGCGCCTGTATCCATACCACACGCCTCAAGGGTCCTCCGTGGATGTGCATATGCATATATTCTCGAGTATGTGTTTGTGCATGTATACGTCTATGCATACATGCACATATGTGTGTGTGTGTATAGACATGTACACACACATATATATTGGTATATACTTCCTTATCTGGGAGTCAGGGGGGAGTCTTTATGCGGACATTTTCCTTTTATACTTGGGAAGCCTGAAGAGGGATTATTCAGCTATACATGAACACAGCTCTGGAAAGAGGAGGAATCATCTACACACCGATAGTGATTTAGGCTGGCGCAAGGTTTAAAGGTAGAGGGTGGGTGAGGCGTACCCATAGCTTTAATTAGTAAATGGTTTATTGTCAAAGGCAGAAAAGAGAGGCCCACATCCTGCCCTCCCGATTAAGCCCTCTGTGTTCCTGCTTCCAGCAACCCCATGGCTACGGCTTCTTCGTGGTGTGTTTTTTGAGTGTTCACCATCTGAACCTGCCCAGTCGTTGACGTAGAGATCAGGTGCTTAGTGTAGCCTTCCTCTCTCCTCTGGGTCTTCAGCCAAGGGCATGGGGCCTGATCCCTGCTGTTGCCCACAGTTCACACCCAGAAGCCCTCAGCTGGCTGCTCTATTTGCCTGACTTTGGTTGACTCTGCTGGTGTGGCTACAACCTCAGTGCGTGTGAAGGTTCAGAGTCCATTCTGGCTGCTCCTGTGGCTTAGAGGGCAGGAGAGGCGCTTGGTTCTGGGCAGACCCTGAAAAGCCGCACCCTCCCTCACCTTCTCATGCCTTCCTGTAGCTAACCCTGCCCCAAGTGCTTCCCATTCCTTGGTAACGTTGCCTCTCTTCCCTGGCCGACTATCACAGTGATGTGACCGGCCCCCTCCCTGAGGCTGCAGGGGAGACTCGCTGTCTCTCCCACCATTTGCTATAGGGCAGTGCTAATGTCCATAAAGCCTCTGATGAGCCGTCAGCTGTCCTGGCTCTTATCGAGGCACACCTAGCTCTGGCCTTGGTGCTGGGGCCCGGCAAGGGAGGAAGCATTAGGAAAGGGTTAAGAGTCAGTTCAAAAATCAAAGCCCGAGCTTCAAAAAGTGCCAGTAAAAGGGCCATGGATTGTTTAATAAACACGTCAGGGCAGTGAGGTTGAGAAGTAACACCCTTTGTGGCGTGCTGGAAGGGTGCCTATCTGATAGGACTGGAGAGAGATACGGAGGAAGCCAAGGGCAGGCGCTCCATCAGGAGGCAAGGATAATGTTACAAAGCCAAAGTGTTACAAATTATATCCGGGCTGCCCTTCCCCCCACCCCCTCTGAGATGGGGCCCATGGTGGCTGGACAGCTGGAGCAGGTGTCCGCAAGGAGGCCCAGAGAACCAAGATGTCCCTTTGCAGCCCTGACCCCTTGCACGCACGCACACACTCCCTCACCCGGGCCCCAACTTGGGTCTACCATTGCTCACTTTTAAGTGTAGAAAATGTGATGAGCAAGGCAGAAGGGCTTCTGTTACCCGGGGTCCTTGAATAAAAGATTGCCTTTTCTTTCTACATAGCATTCCTTGTAAAAGAACACATAGTAACAAATCTTCGACTTTCTAGCTAAGAAACCAGCCAGTCTTGGGCTCAACGCTTGCTTGCATTTGACACTTAACCTCCTCCTTCCCCAAAAAGAAACTTTCACGTCACTGGGGACTTGCATCTGGACGCTAGAGCCCCAAGTGTGCCTTCTAGCAGATTTGGGGGGGGGGGGCGGGCATGCTGCTGGGCCATTGTTCAGTCCCTGAATCCCACCCAGATCCTTCTGGATACTTGAACTGAGCGACCGATGCTCCCAAGGTCAGAGTCCCAAGCACAGTTGCCTCAAAGACTTACAGAACAGGTGTCTGGCCTTGCTGGGTTTGGGAATTGGAAAGCAGACAGTTGTTCCACCTCGGGTACGGCCTAGTGCATCCCAGAAAAATTCATCCTCCAGCCAGCAAAGTGTTCCATCCTTTCCACGTTCACCCACACCCCCAAGTGAAAACTTGGTTGGGCAGTGACAGGAAAGAAACTCAATTCTGTTTTCTGCTCCTTTTTCTTTCCTAAGTGGAGGTTGAGGAAGCTTTGAGGGACAACATGCGTTGACACACAGTGAGGTTGTTATTTCAAGGTGGCTAGTGCTACTTGTATTGAAAAGAATCTGGTTTTTTCCTTCTTGGTTTCTGGGTGAAGAGAGGAGAAGGCAGCAGCCTCGTTGCTGGGGCATCACCGTTAGGTGGGTGACCTTTGTAATATGTCTGATCTCCAAGCACCGGTGTTGGCAGTTATTCTAAAGAGTGCTGAAAGGGAAGGACTGTGTGTCACGCAGCCTCCCCTCTTCACCGAGAGCAGGAGTCATTTTAAGATGTATCAGAACCTATCCTCAAAGCAGCTTGGTGAATCCCTCAGGGAGTTAGGACCTTTTTGGCTTCAACCACCGATAGCTCCTCTGCTTTTCCCATGGTAGCAGAAAGAAGGGCCAGCAGTAACAAAGAGGAAGTCAGGAGAGGGCGTGGGGTTTGGGGGGCTTTTGGATTTGGGTCTTCATTTCTGGCCTTTAAACAGTGTTAAAGTCAGACTGGGGCCTTTGGCTTGAGGGTGGTGTCCCTTTAAGCTGATGACTGCTCCGGTGCTGATCTAGGCCCATCCTTAACTGGAACAGGAGAGAAAGGTTGGATCACGGAATACCTCATGCATCCCTTGGGGGAAGACTCTGTCTCTTCTCTTATTCCAAGGCCCTTCCCAAATTCACAGAATAACTGTTCCTGACTGCCCTCTGCTTCCTGCCGCCCCGGGGAAATCAAGGCAGATTCATGGTAGGGAATAGCATCGGTCTCCTCGTGGGGTAGCTGATCTCAACCAGCATTCTGACAGTTTTGTGAGCTTGCCGTATGTGCTGTGAATGTTGAATTTGGATAAAATGCTGTTACTTTGTAAAGACTTGCCTGCCCAGATACCAGGTACCAACAAGGGAAAACCGTTGGTGCTGGTGTTTAAAAAATAAACTGCCACGTGCTGTCTGCTGCTTCTGGAGTCATTGCCATGTTTTAGAAGCCAGAGGTTTCTGCTGGTGTTGAAGGGGTAAGTAATTCCTTTTCCACAAATCACTCATTAGCTCAAGGGTCCATTGAGCTACAAGCAGCCATCATTTAATTACCTGCTCTGTGGCAGACAGTGTTCTAGGCACGGTACAGACCCCATCCTCAGGCTAATAGGGGAAAAGCACAACATGGAAGCAGTGAGGGAAGGGCGGGTGGCAGGGCTGGATCCGTGTCTAAAGGCAGTGCCTGCACTGTGAACAAGGCCGGTATGGGCTCACCTGGGTGACCCCGGGGCAAGCTGCTGCCCATTCCTAGGCTGCAGATGTCTCCAATATTTGGGTTTGCGTGAGATGATCTCAGAGGTTCCTTCCAACTCTTGCTTCTATGGGCCTAGTCCAGGAGTGGGTCACCTGCAGCCTGGAGGCCACCTGTGGCCCTCTAGGTCCTGAAGTGCGGCCCTTTGACCAAATCCAAACTTCACAGAAGAAATCTGCTTTATGAAAGGATTCGTTCTGTCAAACGGCTGCACTTGAGGACCTAGGAGGCCACATGTGACCTCAAGGCTGCAGGTTCCCCACCCCTTCCAAGGCTGTGAAAAACGGCACAGGGCAGATCACTTGGTAGGATGGGGTCAGAGAAGGTTCCTGAATGAGGTGGCTTCTGACTTAGGCACTGAAGGGGGGGGGGTGTGGCTGTAGTCCTCTCCAGACCTGAGATAGGAGTAGCCGATGCATAGAAGCAGGAAGGTGGACAAGGATTCCCATTTAACTGGATTACAGAGCATACGTCATAAGCTTTCCAGGGAAATTCCTTTGGAGGCAAAGGCAAGATCCCTGAGCTGACAGCTGACAAGAGGCACCCTGCCATAGTAGGTAGAAAGCCAGCCTTTGAATTGGGGAGAGAGCTGGGTTCAGGTCCCACCTCTTGACTCATATGGTGTGACGAGGCAAATCTCGGTGCCCACGGCAGTGCTTGGTAGTGGGTGTCATGTGACGTACGTGGATGTCATCACGAACCAGGCCTCAGGAAAGAAGAGGCTTCCTGCCTATCGCTGTCTATGGCTCCCCAACCTTTCTTCTTAGAGAGAGAGCACTACCTAACTCCTGGAAAAGCATGAACATTGTTAAGTGCAGCTATTTCCAACCAAACCCCCAGGGGTTTCCAAAAAGAAGGAAGAAAGTGCAAAGATCTCCAGGCTTCAGGCTAGGAGTCAAGGAGACCTGGGTTTTAGGCCAGGCTCTGTTAATCTCTGGTTTGTGTGACCTTGAGCAGTTCACTTCTTGAGGGAGCTACACACCCCTCTTTGAAAGGAGGGCATTAAACAAAGGCATCTCTAAGGCTCCTTCCCATGCCAGCATTCCTTGATAATATGAAATCCCACTGCTTTTTGTCTCCACCCCCACCAAAAGAAATCATCATAATAGAGTAGAAAGAGCTATCTAGTCTGACTGATAACCTCTGAAAGAATCATGTCTACAAAAGCCCCATTCAACACATGGCCCCATGGAGCCTTTGTCAGAAGACCTCCAAAGAAGAAGGACCCATTCCCCCCTCAGAGTAGCCCCCTCTGCTTTTGCCACGCTCTCATCACAGAGTTTCCCTTGATGCAGAGCCAGAATCTGCCTCTATAACAATTCCCCAGGCTCTGTTGCCTCTCTGGGGCCAGGCAGAACAAACTTAATCCTTCTTCCCCAAGTCAGGCCATCAAACACTTGAAGACAAGGAGGCTTTATCTTCTGCAGACCAAACATGGCCAGTTCCTTCAGTGCTGCTCAAATGGTTCAACCTGGGCACCCTCTTAACCCATCCTAAAAGGTGGCCCCATTCCCACCCTACCCTCCTGCTGAACACAATAGCCAAGGTATGTCCTGACCAGGGCAGGATACAAGGAGACCCTCTCCTTCCCTCATCGAAGCCTTTGGCTTTTAGTTCTTCCTAAGAGGAAATAAGTTTTGGGGTCTGTGATTTTGGCTCCCACTTGGATAAAGAATAATTATCTTAAAACTTGGGCCACGTGTGGCCCTCTAGGTCCTCAAGTGCAGCCTTTTGACTGAATTCAAACTGGACAGTCAAAAGGCTGCACCCAAGGACCTAGAAGGCCTCAAGGCCACAGTTTCCCCACCCCTGCTGTAAACCTATCTCTGGTTTTTTAAAAAGAGCCTGGAAAAGACCTGCTCTGTGTAGTCTTGGAGAGGAGGTTCTAGATCTCATTTCTCAACACCCAAACTCCCAATGTCTGAAAAACAGGCATCCAGCTAGAGGGACCTGGCTTTCCCTTGGCCTCGAGCCTTCCAAGTCTGCTGGGAGGAGGTTGGCTTGCGTGGCCATAGCCTCCCAGAGCGCTTGCCCACTTTAGCAGGACGCAGTTTTTTTTTTACCTGGCAGGTGAGGAAGGTGGTGACTGTTACCCAAAAGCAGCATTTCCCAGGCTAGGGAGAGAATGAAGTTGGAGGGGAAAGGCTGAATTTGGAATGAGAAAGCGGGCAATTGATCCCAATTCTGCTATCTTTCCTTCTCTAGGCCTCAGTTTCCTCTGTAAAAGTAAGGAGGGCAGTAGGCCACAGAGAGTCTTATCAAGGGGTCCCAGATTTAGAGCCTCAAATTTCAGAGAATCACACTTTCTGGGTTAGAAAGGACCTCAGAGCCAGCTAGACAGTGGACAGAGATCCTCCTCTCCCCAAAGGGCCCCTTCCTGCACAGCCTTTGCTTGAAGACCTCCGCAGAGAGGGAGGGGAGGGAGGGGGGCCCATCGCCTCTAGCTAAACGAAAAAGCCTAGAGAGGAAGAGGAAGGGCCAGTTGTCAAGGAATAGGTTTTTGTATCCGGAAGATTGGGGAGGGGGAAGCAGGGGAGTGACCGGCAACGCCGTGGGCTCTAGTGGAAGATGAAAAGGAGAAATTGTTGAGATGTGGGGACCCCCGAGAGATAGGAGGGCTTTGTGGAGATTGGGGCGGGGGGATCCACAGAAAACCGTGAGGAGATTCAAGGACCCTGAGAAGACGCTTGAGGGTTGTGAGACAGTGGGGGAAGCTTCGGGAAATGTAGCGGGGTACCAAGAAAGGAGGTATGATCTTGGAGATATTGGGGGGCAGTATCGGGGGAGTGCCGAAGGAAGATCGGGAGATCAGAGAGGGGCAGGAAGGTCCTTTAGAAGGAGTATAGAGGAGACCCAGGATGAAGGCCTGATCTTCGGGGATGGGAGTGTATGGGGATGACGGAGGAAACTAGAGATTTGGGGCCCCTGAGAGGAGTCTTGAGGGTTCTTTGGAGGAGGACTCCTCTCCTCTGGGAGAAGACATGAGCTTGGAGAATGGGGATATGGGGGGTTGGGGGTGTAAGAGGGGGACACTGTGAAGATTTGGGGACCCAGAGAGAGCATGTGAGGGTCCTGTGGGGAATTGACATCTCAGATCTCCGTGGGTGTGGGGGTAGATCGGGAATGCTGGGGATGTGGGGAGCCCTAGCGAGAACGGGAGGCTGGGGGGGGGGTGCATTGCGTAGGTGGAGGTGCCTTACGCGTGCACGTGCGTGGGTACGTGTCTGCAAGTGCGTACTCGGCCCGGGGCGGGTCGGGGGGTGACGGAGGGAAGGGGCACGGGCCGGGCTGCCCCCCCAACCTCACACCCAGACTCGGGGGCTGTGGCGCAGCACACCCGCGAGGACCCTGTGGCTCCGGGGATTAGGGGCTGTGTATGGGGGGACCCGGAGCCTCCTAGGGATCAGCGCGGGGTGGGGGGGGGGAAAGAGGTGGGGGGCAGTCTTTTCAGTTTCAGCTGAGCTTACTCGGCCCCTCCCTGTCCGGCCCCGCCCCCTCTGGGGGTTGAGCAACCCCAGTGACAACCTGGGGGGCGGAGCCCGAGCAGCGCCTTTAAGGGGCGTGGTAAGAAGCCACGCCCAGGAGCCTCCGTACGACGGGAGGGGCGGGGCTGGAGAGGGAGGAGATCGGAGGCGGGAGGGGGGAGGCGTGCGCCGCCGCGCAGGCGCAGTGAGCGCGCGACGGGCACTCGCTTTCCAAAATGGCGGCGGCGATGGATGTGGACACCCCCAGTGGCACCAACAGCGGCGCCGGCAAGAAGCGCTTTGAAGTGAAAAAGGTCGGGCCTGCCCGGCGCCTCCCTCAGAGGGGCCGGCGGGGCGTGGGTCCGCTTGCAGGGCCGAGCTGGGGACTGCTGGGCTGGGGGCCCCACGCTCCCCAGCGTTGCTGGGGTACCCGGTTCTCCACAGGAGGACGGAAGTGGGCGGGATTTCGGTGGGGATGGACGCGGCCGCGGCCCAATGGGCGCAGGCGAGGCTGCCCGGCGAGGAAGCGGGACGGGCCAATGGGCGCGGCTGTTGTTGAGAGGCCGGCGGGCTGCGGCTCCTGCGCCCCTGCCGGGAGCCTGAGCTGTCATTGGGGGGAGGCGGTGGCCGCGCGGTCGGGAGGGGTGGGGGTGGGGCCGGATCTGCCCCGCCTAGGCCAGCCCCGCCCCGCCTCCCGAGCCGAGCCCGGGGTCTCGTGATGCCTTGGGGGCTGCCCCACCCGCTTCTCTGCTCCCTCCCCGGGCGGGGGCCGCCGGCTGGCTTTCCTCCCTAACCCCCACCGCCCCTGCCTTTGCTTTGTCCCGCGGCTCCTCCCAGGCCCCGTGGGTTTCCCCCTAAGAACTCGAGCCCCAGCCCCGTGAAGTTGCGATGGGGGTGGGGGATGTGGAGGAGAGGGCGGCGGTCACAGTGGACCTCGGGGCATTTCCTCCTAAACGAATCGCTGGGGAGGAGGGGCGGACTGAGAGGTTTGCAACCACCTCCCTCCGATTATGTCTTAAAGACTTTGGGGGCCCCCTTTATAAAGTGTAGTAAATGAAGACATCAAAAATGAGGGGAGTGTAGTAACTCCCCACCTGGGAAGTACGTGCCTCTGGTCCAGCTGCTGCTGCAGTGCCGCATTCTAAGCCACGGCCATATTGAAGAACAAAACTGGGGCCCCCTTACCCCCTGGGGTGGGGGACAGG